GCTGATCATGATTATGCTTTTGTATGAATGCTGTTGCTAATGGAATGACAACAAATAGGCCTATATTCTGCATGGTAGAGTAACTGGGTATTTCTGAATAGTATATGACCCAGCGTCAGAGCACAGGGCGACGCGAAATACATAGGACATATTCTGTAATCATATTTTCAGGAAAAGCAACACATTAAGCCACAAACATAACCCATAGTCTGATATTTAGCCTGATGACTGAACTTCATGAAACAGAGGCTTTCTTGAGAAGCTAATAGTCGCTCAGGTGATCTAAAATACCATGGTTTCATGAAACACGAAAAATCATCTCCTCCTAGCATCACTTGTCATGCGGGTCACCCGTTACCAGTGCGCAGGGTGTGTCATTATGTCCCGTCGAGAGATTCGCATGTCCATTTCACGTCATTGATCAGCACCGGAACTTCTTTTAGCTTCAGAAGGGCGTAGCATTTATGTTAACCGTGTTAGCCCAGCTAACACTTTGAAAGGCGAAAAATATCAAGTCTTCTGTCTTAAGTTCGTGCTGCTCAGTTCTTTGGCATCTTGAATTCGTATCTTGTTTCGACGATGTATTTTAAACTTCGGTAAATACCACGCTTTTAAATGTTATTAAGAATCACTTATATGTAAGTAGGGCTGTCAAATGAACCTAAATCCTCTTCTTGTATTTACGTAATAGGCCATTTGAATTCTAAGTCGGCCTCAAATGTCTCCTCTGTCTCCCTTCCTTATAGGTTTCTTTATAATGCCACGTATTCGTCTGTTCTGTTTACAAGATGATTTCATCTCTTCTTGAATGCAGTTATCACTTGAAAAGTTATCGGCCTTGAATTTCACAGGTATGTTCTTTCTTGTGAGGTTTGAGGTTTTTGCGGGAGTGAGGATCATGATGGCATGGTGTTTGGCACCGTGTACACTCATCGGTAGCTACCAGAGTTTCGTGTAGAACATACTCTGTCCATCTTCAGTCCTGAAGAATACCGTAATAATAAAAAGCTGCTTAGCAACATCGTTAGTGAAAAATCCTATCTTATGATCATAAAATTCGGGATCTATTGCAGGAAGTTTGTGCACTAGCTTTGTTCGGTTCTTCATGTTTTCTCTAAAGCCTCATTGACAATGCAGTGCTGCAGAATTGCAGAATCTTGTTGCAGGAATATAATTTTGCCGGAGTGTCTCGCCGAAGGCTAATTGAATGAACTCAGAAGTTCCAAAAATGCCTGTGTACTTGCCTGCTTGCAGGCAAATTACCACTTCCTCTCTTTGTATCTGTATTACATATTACAGTGAGGAAGTGTTATGAGCGTGTTGTCTTGCCGTTCCAATTTTCTGTTATTAATATAACGAATTATACGTACACAATTACCACCAACGTGAATGGGTATTAATAACCAGTTTTATAAGTTGACTCCTTTCAAACATAGAACCTGCTCATGACATGATGGTAATTTGTAGTCACTGATAACTACACGTGTAACCTGGGACTCGCCCAGCGTCATTCTTTCACCTGCTTCCTGTACACACAAACTTTTACAAAACACGTCCGGTTCCTTATAACTCATTTTCTCTCCTGATGAAGCTTGTTAATTGCCAACTGGCTGCTAAGATACTGTTAAATATTTAAGAATTCTTATTTGAGTTACTTATAGAAGTCTGCTTGATACATGGATACTTCTACATTGTCTAAGCCTTTATACACAGAGCAGCTAATTTTGACCAGTTTAACCTTCGACGAGTTCAAGCAGACGTTTAAAGGACTCACTCTTTCAGAATTAGTTCTGAATTGCTGCACGCCAGATTGCACAGTCTGTGATAGATGGATTTCTGAACGGAATAAAAATTATCCAAGAACTCCTACGATTATCAAAAATGTTTATACCTTCCACGGACGGGGAATGCCAGTTTATATAAGTTAAAAGTTTCGTTCACCGATGAACTGGCTCTCGGCTGGAGCAGCTTTAAAAAAGGTAAGTTGATTTTATTGTGTTCATGGATCGATAATTGATTCTTATCAGAAAAACCTTGTAGCTCTTGGCTGTGATATATACAATTCTAGCCAATAGCCGGAAAGTGACAGTTGTTTTCCGGTTTATAAGTGAACGCATTGTATCTGTATAAAGACAGATTTAACACCTACTTATCTTCGGATACCGAACTACACTTGTATATTTAGGCATAATCTGGCTACATCCTAACATTGCAGAATCAGTGACTGGTTTTGAGAAACAAGAATTTTTCTCTCAAATCCTTGGCCGACATCGAGCTACTTCAGTGACTGACTTGTTAGATAATCACATAGGTCTACAGGTCAAGTCTGATATCCGTTGACCATCCTTCCTTTAGTTATTTGTTTATTATTTAGTTACCTTTCCATTTGAGTTGCTTAAGCGTAAAGATTCCGTCTTCCGGGCATGTAGTGTCTTCAGGTGTCTTCACAGTCTGTACACCAATTCCCTTAGCACGCATCTGAGAGCGAATAGGTCTACCTTACCGCTTAATGCTGAATAATTGTTCCTAAACCCTGACATTCAGTGTCATTACTGTATGGTTATATTCAACTTGTTACTAAACACTGTTGTGTATAAACCTTCCACTGCAATTAAATGCGTAATAGTCATATGATTAGAATTGACTGCATGAAGTTTCATAATTGAGTTTGCCTCGAACACGCAATTAACTTAATACTACTACATTTAATATCAGTTTTAATTATGGAACGTAATGTTCACACCATTGATCTAATCTGTGAACAATGTATTATGCAGTTGAATAGACTTTTGTCAAATGGATTAATAATCTACATTAGGATCAATTTAGCCTCCTCTTGGGTGGGTACCATGCTTTTACCCTGATATAAAGGGCGTAAACTAGGTCTGAATAGTTCGGAGGTAAAGAATGGCTGGCTGTGCATTTTCGTATTTTGTACAATCCGTTTGTTACGACTTTCTGCCTTGGTACATAAATAATTTTATTGTCAATTTTATTTTTCTTGTAATCAGATGTGTCAAATTGTTCTGCCTACACTTCTCATTTAGTCTGCATGATCTGTACATCTTAGTTTACGCGCTTCATCCATATATCTGGGAAGTTTTGTTTAATTAAATGAAGCTATTCTTCATTATAGTTGCTTCAGGACAAATTACTTTTAATTTTAAGAATATGAGTTCAGTTCATAAGAAAGGATCTTATATCGTGTAGGACAGCCTACAAACTAGCTTTTAAACATGTCCAAATAGTTTATTGATTTGTATTTATGTAATTTATAATTTCTATCTGCTTATACTACTCAGAGTGAAAATATTTTTACATTTGTCCCCATCAGTGCCGTGCTAATTACTCTGGAAAATAGTTTTTAGTATACTGATAGTTGCTCAGCTGGCAAATAAATCTCTTCCCCTCGAATGAAAATTGCATTGTTTATTATCACGTCCACAAGAACCCATCACTCGACCCTGTCTTAAGCCAATTGAAACCAATCACCGCGTCATAATATGCCCAGACAAACTAATTGTCCCCATTCGAGGCTAACGAACAAAGTGTGAGAAGCTTAAAGAGCCTTTTAGCAATGAAAAATTATTCTGCATGTAAGTATTCGGCAGTATAAGCTGGTCTTACTTTATCAGACCCTGTGTAATGAATCTGCTACAGGAGCGTTGTAAGTTGTTGCCGTGAACAATAAAACGAAGTCTGGTCAAAAAATGTTGATTACCTTTTAGCAGGGCTTTTTGTCTTGTTGGATGCATTGTTATAATCTTGGGCCTTCTGCTACATGGACGTCATCTTGCAAGCAATACACCTCACTACTAATCAAGCCTCGTGTTCTTTTTCGCTATTCCCAGCAACGCAGTATGGGTGACCCATCATTTAGATACGTGTTCCGAACCACAGGTTTAGTCTATCTTTGTATTTATAGTCTTTGTTGCACTGTAACATATTAAAAAAGATTGTATCGATATGGCATTTGTCAGTCAAATATTATCAGGGCAATCAAATCAAGAATTATGCGAGATTTAAGGTTTTCGCAGATGGCAATCTTGAGGAATGTTGGGCTGTGTAGTCTGGCTGATGTTGACCGATGTTTCAGAGAAGCTTACTGCCCCATCTCTACGATACTTTGGTGATAGGGACAGTAAGCTCGTCTGAAACGTCGGTCAACATCAGCCAGACTAAACTACGTGACTTCCCACAAGAGAATGAAGAGAACGTATGGAAAACTAAACACAAAAGTGAAAGTGATGTAATGTAGTACGAACACATTCCAGTGGCGTGCTCTTCGGGTTCTATAAAACGCGGGAATTTCTTGGTTAACTGAGCGACTGTAAGCTTATAATCTACGGTTTCATTTAATTTAGTAAGTGAATCAGTATCTCGGGGAATTTAAGGTTTCATGTTATGTAAGAAATAAACCGTATCCTGTTTGATAAGAATAGTTTAACAGATACAGCAAAAAGAATGAGTCTTAACCTTTATTTCGTTTTTCTGTGGCAGTCCTGTTCTTCGTTCAGGTATGATTGGCATCCGTTTTATAAGTTGATAGCCAATGAATTAGTAACTAATGAAGATAATATTGAATAGAGTGTCGAGTCATTGGTGATGTATTGAAAGCGTAATCAACGTTCTTTATATTTGTACATGCAGCGCGAATGTTAGTCAGTTTTTGTGTTTGTTATTGAAACAAAATGCATGCGTCTTTCATGTCTGTCTTGGAATTCCTTTTAGTTCGTGAAAGATTCACAGAGGGAGATTGCTTGCTTCCTTACTTGCAAAGCGATCTCATGTACAGCATGTTAATAGTATTTTCTGCAGTGACTATTATGTTTATTGATTTGGATGTTGGGTTATGTTCTGCTGCCCCTAAATGGAATCAGGTCTTTATGATTCAAGCAGGGCCGGATTTATATTTGTCGGGGCCCCGGGGCGACCGCTTCGGTCGATCTCCCTGAAATCAGGCCATGCATTGAAGTTTGACAAAGGTGACCTTATTGCAGGTTCCAGGCTGTGGCATCTCTTGTCCAGGAGGTGGAGACCCACTATCCTGGGGATCAGGTGGACTGGACACTGGTACATGATGCCGGTTGCACCTGTGACGACACCGAGTTGCCTCATCACGTGACATCGAGGGACGACATTCAACAGCTTATAACCTCCTCGTTCACCGGACTTCTGTGCTCCCTGCCCGGGCCTCCGACCATTGTCACCATATCAAGGTAGGGATCTCTTCTTTATACAGCAATTTAAAATCAGTATGTGATAGATTGTGTGTGCAGTTTCATATACTATTCAGTGTGGAGTCTTAGATTTCGAAAATCAAATTTCATACGTGAAACTACAGGCGTTTTATGAATATAGGGATTGTCAGTTCCTCATTAAACTAGTCGGTCCTCTGAACAACTCACTTTCCTTGTCCTCTTCTTTAAATCAGTAACATATTATACTCTTGGATGCGAAATATTCGAAGTGTTAACACGTAAACATATGTTTCGCTGCGTTGTATAGAATTACTTGCACGTAGAAGGCCATGGAAAAGCGACCGACCTTTTATTTCGGAACGTGATTCCTCAAAATATATTTTCTTATTATTATTTTTCTTTAACTGGTATTAATTATAATTATAATTGTTAAGCTTTTTATTCTTGAACTCTCACAAAGCAGCTTATGAAAATTAAAAATAAAGTAATATCGTATAGCAGAAAGTTGATGCTATTATTTCGTTATTTATCTTTGATCAGGTAAAGATATATAATACCATTTCATATACTGTAATCTCAAATATGATATGTCAAGTTTATAATAACTGTGTTGCGCTGCAGTACACATCTGGCCTTTTTTAACAGAATTACCATGGCAACTGTTATTATATTATCTCGTAAAGCCTAAAATCTCATAACAGCAAATGATCACCATACCATGGCAAAGGTTATAATAATACACATATTTATAAATATTGTCATATAAGGCCCAAAATCCCTGAACATCAATTGATCACCAAACAGCAAGTCTTGTGTTATTATACAGATAGTGATTACGATATCGGCGACGCTGAACCTCGTGAATCAGGAAATTCAGAATAGCTCAGACTCACACAAATGACTGTCTTTGATGTAAAGAATTTATTTCCCTTTTACTGGACGCGGGGTAGCAGTGTGTGTATTTATGTGGGTCCTAGAGACGGGAGGTGCTTCATGGACCACTCAGCGTTGGATGTTAAATACACATTTCTGCTTTTAACTGGAAATTACGGTTCCTTCGTCTGATGTTACAGTTACCTTTGATACTTAATTGGCGTTAAGAGTTAACTGCTATAAGCGCACGTATAGTTCACGTACGAGACACGCCTTCAGAGGGAGTGAGGAGGAAATCCATGTAGAGGGCTGGAAGGACCCTGTTTGTTTAACACATTACACGTTCCATGAGTTGCTCGTGACGTCATGTGCCTTCAGTTAGATGAAACAGTTTACTCGCTTTGCTGGTACTTACTTGCTTATCCAATTAAGGAAGGTGTAAATTGTATTACAAGCTCCGTTCCATATTTATCCTCCAGGAATATCACAGTGAATCATTTGTAGTTCGTAATGGGTAACGAGATTCTGTTTTTCAGTGTGCACCGAACAAAACGTTTGATTTCTGTGGATTCCAGCAATACACGAGTAAATTATATAACTTTCATGTATGAGATTTCACGTGAGTGATTCAAAAGTAGCCGTAAATTTTGCGTGATTGCTGTATGGACAGCAATTCGAATTTGCTTGTTATTGCAAGTCATATAATGGACCTTGTAACATAGCTTTCTGGTTCCGTGTTCATGTTTTGTGAGACCTTCCACTTTGGCGACCTGCCGACCAGGCGTCTTGGCACCTACCGACATGGGGGATCGGTGTAGGTCAGGTTAGATTGCGTGAATTTGGGTTACGTTAGGATGGTGGGTTAGGTTAGGTTAGGTTTGGTTAGGTTGGGTTAAGTTAGGTTGAGTTCATTTAGGTTGGATAAGGTTAGGTTAGGTTTGGCTAAATTAGTGTCGGTATTTTAATAATTTTTGACATTTCGAGGTTTTTACCTATACTATATTTGCAACTTTTTTATGCGTCGTGACGGTCGGCGTCGATTTGTGGCAATGATATCGCATGGCGACCCTATGCTTATATTTTTATCATTTACATATCATCATAGCGTCCCTCTTTATCCCAGACTACGTCCAACACACATTGGTAAGCAGAAGGACGTACTCTTTCGTAAATGAATCTTTTTTTAATCTCCAAATGTTCTTTATTTGATATTACATCTGCGTTTTATCCTTTCTTTTCGTCTCCTCATCTTTGTTCGACGTCACACTTTTCTTTCTCTGTTAAATAATTACATCCCGCCAAGTTCTGGTGGGACCATAATTGGAACTAAATTTTATTACCCTCTAAGAAATTATTAGCACTTTGTAATCAACCTCTCCACCTTATTTTCCTGCTCTCTCACGGCCTTCTTTTTAATATCAAATTAGCTGCCTTTTCAGAGTTTATTATTAAGCCTATATAATCTGAGAAGAAAATAATTACGAAAGTGACTAGCGTGGTAAGAATACGGAAGGAAGCAGTCAACTGTTCGGCCCAGTTCTTTGAATTAATTGGATTACAAATGACATCGGCACGGCGGAATGAAGCACTGGGCCGGATAATGACGTTACACCATCTTAACTGACTCCGTAATGAATTTAATTGCTCCTTCTGTAAGCCGTTTTTAAACCTTTCGGGTAAAAGTGAATTATGGCTTTGTTCTAAATTTATCCAGTCGGCGAATCTTTTGTATTCTAATTGTTCTGAAAAAGCAGTGACCAAGATTTGCGTATTACGAGCGGGATTTAATTAAAATCATAATTACTACATGTCTGACGAATGTCCGCAATCCATGTTTGATGTACTTCAGCATAAAATTATATCTAATTGTTAAATTAAATTAATGTGGGTTTGTGGGAACATGGTAATGAATCTTCTGATTCAACGAAAGGCGTAACATTTCTCGAGTAATTAACTGAGCTGCTTTTAGCTTCTCAAGAAAGAGTCTTCTGCTTAGAGTTACTTATTTACTACTTTCGCCAACAGAAAAGCATGATGTTTATTATAAATTTGGTTTCACATATTAATATACTTATTCGCGGTTATATTTTCTACGAAACAGCTTTTTTACTCTTTATTAAGATGAATTGAGAATAATATAATAATCACAATTTAATCCAAATCATATGTGACATTTTAGGTTCTCACGGCGGCAAGTATGAATATATCTCGGATGTTGCGCCGTGTGGTCTTGTAGAAATTGACGAAATTTCAGAGATGCTTACTGTCTCCATCATCTGGGCGGTTTTCAGGGGCCTTGGGCATATGTTATAAAATACGTTAGGCATGGATGGGGAATTATAGATAGCATGTAAATAAATAATTAGGAGTTATAAAAAGCAGAGCGTAGAAATCAATATCAGAATTGAAGATAGAAACTGAAGTGGGAGACTAACATATGAAAGAGCTACAAGAAATTTTTTTCCTTAGGATTTTTTTTTTGGAAAACAATGATGTTATTTCTAAATTAAGACCAATTAAGACTAATTTTTGATGTTAATTTTTAATAAGTCTCCTGAAGATGGCGACGATAACACCAAAACACGTCAGGCTAACAAACAGAATATTTTAATTGTTTGTATATGAGTGCAAGTAATAAATTCTGTATGATGGCATAAAAATTCGATTATGTTTATTTCCCTGTTCCATAGAACCGTCTTCTACTAACAAGGATCTGTTTGACGTCGTACCTTAAGATATAGGGGGATCCTCTTTTGAATTCTCCGCGGTATCTCTTGCAGCTTAACGAACTCTATGTTAAGACTATTAGAGGAATTGTCTTAGTCGTTCCGTATCCGTCTGACATCTGATGCCATTCGGACTAACGCCTCTTCGACATTTCATCTTTTCATAAATTGTACTAATCACCAGTCGTCGTAAAAGTAATCAAATGAATGCGAGTGTGATGGGCGGGATATGTAACACACGTAAGATAGGAGACGTTTATACAAAATTTTAGTCAAGAAACCTAAAGGAAGCGACCGCTTTGGACACCCGACATCAGTCAAGGAATAATATTAAAATGGATCTTAAATAAATAATATGTGAGGATGTTCTTGTTCGGGATAGGATCCAGTGTTGGAATTGTTTGAACCTTCGAGTTCTATAATAGGGCGTTATTGATTGCATTAATATACCCCATAATTTGTATGGCTTGACCGTTGATATTTTAGTTATTTCCGATTTTTTAAATCGCAAAGTTTTCATATCTGTGTTTGGAGTGCTTACTGTTTAAACTCGTATGATAAATGTTGTGTAATTAATATTTCGCGGACACGAACAATTAATTTAGGTGAAAAGCTTTGCTGCAATTTGCAGTACGTCAGAGAGTGTCTTTACCACAGCGTACGTACAGTATCTCGTAAAGCATAAAATCAATGAACCGACATGCAAGAGATGCAGTGACGCCATGTTGACAAGATATGTGTAAAAGTTTTGATTTGTGAGAATCTCACTTTGGCTTCTGTCTTATGGAGAATGTATTACATATTTAATAATAGAATTTCAGTGGCTTCAGCTGATTACTCTAAATCCATTTTTCAGTCTGTGCCATTAAAAGTACAAATTTATTTATTTCAGTTTATTGTCACTTCAATTAGATGGGCCAGTAGGAAGCTTCGTGAAACGTTAATACGCAAGGTAGATATTAGAAATGCATACAAAATTTTAGTCCGAAAACCTGAAGAGAAGAAGCCCCTTAAAAGATAGAGCTGTCTTTGACTGTATTGATACGGCTCAAGATAGGGGCCAGTGGCGGATTCTTTTGCGAATTTTTCGTTTGAAGTGGGGAATTGACTGACAAAGTGACGTGTTAGATTGTCAAGAGGGACGCTGTTTCATGTAGTTTTTATTGTTTTATATAATATCTATAAAATTATTGCATACTTAAACATATAGTGTATCATTACTTGAGTATTTTCTAGTTTTACTTTTAATTAATAAATTTAAAACAAAAATCTGACAACGTTGCATCTGTTTCATCATCCCCCCTCACTCCCCCTCTTCAGAAGAGCTGACTTGATTAAAAATAACTTTAAATTATTTGTAGGTCCTACATATTATTTTAAGTCTTTACGAGTTAGGGGCGTGATGAAACAGAAAAAAGAACTTTGTTCACATATAATGCAGCAAGGGAGAGCTAAATACCCACCCTTAAACAGACTTTTTTGTCAGCTCGATGTAACTACGTAACAACGGCTGTCACTGGCGTATTTTATGTGACGAGGCTTTGATTTCTTGATTTAAGATGAGAAATGAACTTCTTACTGATTTTAAAAATTCCTCCTTTAAATTTAACAATATCAGTACTGTGTACGGTATAAATTACTCACATTTTTCTTTTGAAAGGTTACACTTCTCGGCTGTGTACAGAGATTTTATTAACGCAATAAAGTCGGGAATGTGAATTTATTTTCCCACTTCTTTCTTTCTTTCTTTCTTGTTAATCAGTTTGTTATCTGAATTGCTAGGCGTACTACACTTCACGATTCTCTCGTTAAAAGTTGTGTGGTACTTAAGGGAACTTTATGAATAAAGGAGGATTTTGAGAGATATCAACGATTTGCCACTGCCGGAAAAGTGTTGACATTCAGATTGTTACTTCTTTTGGAATGTTCGCTTGATCATTAAAATATACGTGCTCATTGGCCATAGAAAAAGTGCTCGTAATTTCGTTTTGGTCAGATAGAATGTAGTCCTAAAAATGGAGTTAAATTCATGTTTAATAAAATTTAAACTGCAGACGTTCAAGAAATTTAAATTACAAAAATTGACTAACTAACTAGCTCCATTGAGTAAAATCCGTTTGAGAAGCTAATAGTAGCTCAGTTAGTCAAAAACTCTATTATAAAACTTGAACGTTTAGTACCGATTACACGAGAATTCGTCAGTGGTCCGAGTCAACTACGAATAGGCTAAACATAATAACTAAATCGCATAAATTAAATCATATAGAATATGGATGATTCATAATCTGAATATCTGCAATACGTATTAAAATATTAGTAATTCAGTTCAAGCCAAACTAAGATAATGTGCAAAGGGAACTAAAAAAGAATCGGTCTAACCCCGACGCCGACTCCATCTACCCGTGATGTGGAGTACTAGATCTATGTCGTTACAATTTCAGCCACTGTTGGCACATCATCGATTTTATTTCGCCACCATTTCGGCTGTATGTTGGCAGCTCTGACACGTGGACAACAGTAAGAGTTGCTATGTACTAATATGAATAAGCTTTGTTGATGTCCTCACTACTCTTGCACTGAAATCCAAATATTTTTATTGTCTTGAGTTCAAGCCCAAATCAAAATTCGTTCATAAGGGTAAAACTGTAGTAAAATTGTAATCGTGTGTTTAGAGTTCATGTGTTTCGCGTCTGACCGTCTCGATAACTTTTCTTATGTGATGCGTTGAAAAGAATTTTGATGTTGGACTGTGATTTGCATACTCAAGTTCACTAAATTCACCCCAGTGAATTAAGATTATCTTTATTAAGATTATTACGATTATAAACATGGGGGGGCATTATCTGTCAACAGGTGTGTATTTAATGGGAAATGCCTAAAATAATTGAAATGTAATGTAATATAATGTAACGTAACAAAGTTTATAGAATATTTGAAGCATATTTCTTGTTTTGTTTCATTTTATAGAAGAATATTGATATGTAAATACAACTATAATTATGATATTGCTGATTATTTTCTGTTCTTTACTTCGCAAGTTTTGCGGGACCTACTGCATATTATCACCTTAACTAACCTTTATCGACTTTGTTCATAATTGCTTCTAAAGTCTCTGCTTGTACAATTTTAGTTGGGTGTTTGCGTTTCAGAAGAACATATTGAATCGTTTACACAGTCAAAATACTACACCGTGCTGTACCCCAGAAAATCATCTGTATAATATTATACGTTGGTTTATGTGGGTTTGAAATTGTAGGCAACCTTCAACGAGGGACAGATTGAAAGAATTTGATGACAAGGTACTAAGAATAATATATAGAGGTAAAAGAGGGGAAGTAAATGGAGGATAGGCAATATTATGAAATGAGTCGCTTGATAATTTAATATATGTTCTCGAAATATTATTAAATAAAGGAGTATTAGTTTGGCAGAACTTGTAGCACGCATAGGAGAGATGACACATTCATGCAGCAACATTTTAAACTGGAAATCTGAAGGAGAGAGACTACGTGAAATGAGAGTAATAGATGGGAGGATAATATTAAAGTAGATGTTAAAAGAATGTGGGTTAGAAATGTTGGCTGATTTTATCTGTTTACTGTAGGGGCCAGTGATGAGCTTTTGTTACCAGAGTAATGCACATTAGGGTTCCATAAAATTCGGTAAATAAATTAACCAGTTGTACATATAAAAGCTCTTGTACATGGGAAAGGTTCGTTGGTTAAAGTTTAATTGTTGAATTCGAGATTTGAATGTTCATAACCGACATACGTACTGTGCAGGACTGGATGTAATTACCTGTAATTTTGTGGAGCCCTAAGCAAGGCCGTGCTTGAATGAAGTTAGACGAGCACAGAAGAATATTGTCATTCGATGCACCCACTGTTGTTTCTGAAACACAGGAAAGTCTTTTTTAACCCCCGTTCACATCTCAGCGTTATGAAATGAACGAGTTTCTTACTAGTCATTATACATTCACATGTGCTCTATATATTTTTTTGTTTTTCTTTCATATTTTTTATTCCGTGCGTTGCTATTCATTCATTTATTATATTATTTGTTCCTTTTATAAAGACTCATTCATTTTCACGTTTCTTTGTATACTTCATTCTATTTTCGGCACCCTCCTTTATTTTACGTTTGTACTGTTATAAAGGATTTTTTATACATGCATGGAACTTATTTGCATACCCGTCTGCAATTCACTGGGCACGTGGGATGAGATTTCCTGCACATTCACCGTTCCTTCTTGTCGATCTGGCTTTGTCTACAATATTTTTCTCTGTCTCTCGCCGACATAACTGACTTTTTATTAGGTTTACTTTTATTATTTAACATTATGTCTTTAACTTTTTCTTGCATACTGTGACATTAGGTTTGATTTTCTCTTCCTCTACTGTCTTGCACCTTTCCAGAACTTGCGAGCCAGGGGTGAGAACACACGATTTGCGGACTAAATGTGACCCTTTAAAACTACTTAGTTTTCATGACCCAAGAAATGCATTTTTAGTCAAAGCTTCCGAAAGCTTATTGCTACGTAAGCTATTAATCAAAGATCCTTATTGAATTTCTTATAGTCTTTCATTTGGCCAATAATAAATTCTACACCCTTACACTGATTTTAAGGTTCTTTTTAATATTATCTTCAGATGCACGCCTAGGTTTCCTAAATTGTATCTACCATTCAGGTTATTGGAATTATAGTTATTAATGTGCCCCTCATGAATCTACATATCCAATCTGCCTCATTATTTTGATTAAATCCCGTCCATCCACCCGAATTCTTAAACGTCTGTTTTGACAACGATGGGTCAGGGTATGTAGTGACGTGATTCCACGAGATTCATTACCGACATGTTTTGACAATTTCTCGATGTAATAGCAGGTTACTAAAAGCAAGTCCTGGGGTAGCAAATTTCCAACTCTACTAGTGTCAATGCCATTGGAAAGGATTTCAAGCCAGTTCCGTCCACCTCTATCGTAAAAATTCTATACCTCTAAAAACCATCTGAATGTGATCTTACCATCTGATTATCATTTTTAAAAGTAGATGTTTTTCAACTGATTTAGTCTCCATTCTCATGTAAGCATTCATTACTTCGAAGAGGGTCCCTAGACTCCTTGACCTATATAAGTAACAAAGTTCCTTATTCATTGTCCTCAAGTTCACACTGTATCCACCTCGAAGACCAAATATTTCCTTGAATACTTTGTTTTCATACATCATTTGATATTTTCCCCTGGAATTTAATACATCGCGTTTCATATCTATCAAAAGACAACTGGTAAAATTATTACATCTGTACGTTGCTATCTTCTGCGTGACGCCTGTAGTCTTATAGATGGTTACCAACGTTTCGGATGAACATATCACCTCCATCTTCACGAAAACCTTGTACAATACTAAATGACGTCACAATCCATAAGACTACAATCGACATATTGTACACCGTGAGAACATGAAGTTTTGTTCAGCATGCAATTTTTTCTTTAGAAAGTTCAAAATAATTGCCTTTAGTTATAGGTTAAACAAATTCTGTTATTTTTAATAAGATATTGCGGACATGATGAATTTTGTACATTGAAACATACTGCATACTATCGAACACATTAGAACGCAATTGTCTACATGTTTCTGATATGCTACAGGCTGCCGTTCTGTTATGACGGAATGGCCTGACAGATCAATAATTCAGTCTACATCCGTCTATAGCTAATTCGTATAATTAACACTGTAGTTAATATATTACTCGACTCTATTAATATTACATTAAGGAATGAATCATGTATCAAGTAAGCTCTATCCCAATTAAGTCCAATAATGTATATTGAATTTGATTTATTCCATTGTTATTAAATTGTCCAATCGAATAACCACCGATAATTAAGTCTTTGTCCAGATAATTTGCATAAGTGACACTTTACTTTAGCCCATATTGCAATAAATTCAACCATTAATAATTAAGGATAATATTAAAATAACTCTTTGAATGAATGTGGATTAGATTAATGTTCATAATTCCTTGGTTCTTGCGGCTGAAGTCTCATGAGACGAGATGCTTGGATTCAGATCAAATTAAAGTGTGTGACCATATTTATTATCTGTGTTAGAGTCATTTTATTGTTATTTCATGTGAGACAATGATATAAGGTCGTTACTTTTGGTCACAAGTCGGTTAACTTCATTTATTTTTACGATACAGGACTCAACATGCTCGGTGCCGTGAGAACCTCAAATCTCACAGGTTTTCAAATAATCAAGAAATTTAACGCTTTAAGGCGCGTTGCATTTCATTAATAATTTGTATGAGCGTAAAGACATAACAGTTTCATCAAGTTACTTATTTTTTTTTTAAATTTGTAGGCATGGTCGTCGTCTGTTGAAGTACAGTCATCAATATCAGACGTATTAATTATCTTTCTGATATTTTTTAAATCCTTGAGTAGCTAATGAGCCCATCTGATATCTGCGCTGTTATCTCTATCTGTTTATTTTAAATTTGTTGCTAACAGTTCTGTCTGTCGTGCACAACAAATTTTAAAATTTCAGCATGCTGTTATTTTAAGACACAGCAACTTCTATTGTGAACTCAGCTGCTGCTTGGTCCGATTGTATTTATAGAATTATAATAAGATCATGCACTTTTTGTTTTAGTTTTCGGTTAATAATTCTGTGTGTGCAACTTCAAACCGGAGGACAAGGACTCTTTCATTTAAGTTCTCTCTCTCTCTCTCCCCCCCCCCCAAGAACTTAATTAGGATTTTGCTGCCATTACCAGTGGAAGGAGAATTACAGAAGAATGGTTAGAAGTTTCAAGGTTTAAGCTGCCCAGTTATCAGATTCTTTTGGATAAATTAATAGCTCGTACATTTTTATTGCTGTAATTATTTAAACAGCTAAAATGAGGGCATTGCTGTCAGAGGAAGCAAAGAATGTCTAAGCCTTGAATATACATGCCAGGTCTCCTGCTGCTTCTTACATTGGCGATGCCCAGAATGTTCTAACTTACTCTATCTGATTATACAAGTATCAAGGACAATGACAGGTTTGTGCAGCATCCATAAATGGCGAAGTAAACTAATGTACGTGTCCTGCCATTTTCATGTACAAATTATTTTTGGGGCTTTATCTCATATGTGGGTTATACTCTAAGACAAATTGACTGAAGTTAAATTTAACGGTAGTGTCTTTGTTTCAGTCACATAACGTCGTCATGCAAAATGGTGCCGAGTTTCTGATATACTGTTAACATACAAGTTTCATGAGTATATGTAAATACATTCATATTTTCACTGCTTATATTTTTTTTCTATTTAGCAAAACAATGTTTAAAAGTTTTTTCTCCACTGACGTTCTTAACCGTTTATACGATTCAACTGCAACAGCTTCCGAGAAGGAGACTCGGGTAGGTAAATGGTGTAAGATGTGAGATTCTCAGAACGGCGTGCGTGACTTTCCTCCAAGATGTTGCGTTATTTAACCTGGCAGACGTTTACCGACGTTTCAAATTTGCCTGCTGGTGCCATCATCAGGGCCACTGAGGGAAGTTGGATCACTGACAGAAGACTCCATATCGCGATGTTTGGTAGGTTGCCATGGAGGTAGGATGCCACTCGTTCTAAAGTGTCATTGCCATGTGGAGGTAAATTGTGGACCCCCCATTCTCGTTTGTGGTTGTGAAAAGTTAATGTTTAAAGGCTCCGGACAGTGATCAAACTCCATTCACCGACTCACTATATAGAAAATTGGGTACTATAGAGAATTAGCCATTTATCTCCCGCAATAAAGAAAGTAGTATCGTATTTTGAATGTTCATTAATTACTGTTTACTGTGTTTTGAAGCTGAGTTTTTCTTGTTTATTCTCTAAACGTTCCATTTCGTAAGGACTGGAAATGTGCTACTACTCTGATATCAAAGCATCATGCACGTCACTGCACGTCAGACGGGGGATTGGCTACTTACTTGACACTACCAAATCATACAACTCATTAGATTTATTACAGCTCGGTCAGTCAGATTTATACTGATTAAAATACGTCCGAATAAATTTCGTTCTCAGTCATGTAGCTACAGAAATCTGCATTACCGTCACTTGTCTTTCTCACCCCCTGAAGTGTTTCTGTGACACAGCCTTCCGATTCAGGAGAACAGACCTTGGGTTTCGTACCTTTATTACGGATGTTACTGTCACCTGCCCAAGAGTAGCATGGAGAGGGGGAACTACCCTTTCCTCCCCTCTAGTTATTTTGCATATTATTTGCATACTAATAATATATTCTAGCCGTTTTTGATCAAGCGTTGCCTTTTCCTGGTCCGGTCCCATCATGGAGCAGTGTACATAGAATACCCTTTGCTTCTTACTGGCCAAAATGTGTCAGGGGTATTAAAGAAGGAATATAAAAAGACTGGGGTGGGGTGTGCATATCGGGTAAGCGCTAATTATATGCGCACAAGTTCTGCCGGATGAGTATAGCAGTTGTGTACGCAGGCATTATGGGAAGATGTCAGAGGTGACGAAATTGTTCTGTGGAAGAATAGCACAAAGGTCAAACTGATTCAGACTAGATATTTCTTTGAAATTTGTAATATTCTTTTAAGATTACTCGCATATTTTAAACGTTATTGTACGTACTTTGTTTATTAATACGTGTAGAAAATCTCGGTGTTTTCTTCTGTACCTAGTGACTTTAATGCGTACAAATATTTGAAAAGAATCAATTGAGTGAATTTCCACACATGTATTATCTTATTGGCTTGACAATTTCTTGAGGGCATCGGTCTCGTTAGGTGTATAATGTAATAAAGTAACTCACGTTACGATAATTGTTACTAACAAATGTCACTATGCTAGCAGAACCATAAAATTCATTACCGATGACACCATAACTC